GTGCCTGCGGAAGCAACTACTGGGATGTTCTAGTCGGAAGAACTAAGGGAGGTTAAAGTCAAGGCGCCTAAGGAGGACGCGCGGCAAGGGTGCTAGGGCCCTAGTAAAGGCCAAACAGAACCACATATAGCACGTAGTGCAACAAACATCCCAAAGCGAAAGCCGCGATTCGAAGCATCAAAAAATAGATGCGCATGTTTCATGCACTGGGGGTTCTCAAAAACCAAAACCTGATGATCAAGGCAGAAAGACATGCAAACACATGAATGCTTCGATATGCGCAGGTGCTAATGCAACGTATATAAAGGATGCGCGTTAGGCAGAGCGTTCCCCCAGTCCACATTATAAGCTGAAAGCGCAATCAAATCGCGAGAAAGGCGCGAGATCCTCGGGAATAGGGAAAACTGGCTGGTAATTTGAAGTCATTTTCAACGGGCGTAGCCGATAAGCGAAAATGCAGATGCATACGTTGCACACTCGCGACATGGCCACTGTTGGAAGCGCAGGCAGACAACGACGAAGGCGATCTCGGGGGCATCCAAAAACGGATGCCCCTGCTAGCTCGTCGAAGCTTCTTCTTCCAACCGGTAACTAACAGCTCGCACGAAGCAAAACCACGGAGGGTCAACACCACGCGTTAAGCAAAAGCGCGGGGTACGCAAACAGCGCGTGCAGGGGCATCCAAACGATTGGCATCAGAAAATGTCAGGGGCCCGCAAGAAGTTTGTGCCCATGATTCTTGAAATCGTCGCCCAATATTGATGTGCGCACCATCGTGCATGGAAGGACGTGACGGACTCATTTCGAAGTGCTAAATGTTCGCAACCAAACAACGTTTACGTATTTATACTCTGGCGTTCTTGCTAACAGACAAACAACGCTCGAAAAAATGCAGCACGCGCTGGATTATTCACGGCGCGCGCACGCCATGAAAGAAATTCCTTGCGAAAAAAAACAGCTTCTAGCTTTCACCCGCTGTGCTTCTAACGGCCGTAACCCCGCGCCCACAATGCACAAAAAAAACACAAAACTTCTATGTGTGAGCGACACTAATGAATAATACGAGACAATTTTTTATATATAAAAAAAAAAAAAAAAAAAAAAAAAAAAAAAAAAAAAAAAAAAAAAAAAAAAAAAAAAACTCAAGGGGTGCGCCCGCCGTGAATCAAATTCCCAAAGAAAACAACATTGATGGCGACGTTCTTCACTGGATGCGGTTCTAACAGTAGGCATGCACCGCCTAACTTTTCAAAAATATGAACATAATTTCCCCTTCTGAAGCACGAATCAAAAAAAAAGAAACCCCCAAGGTGTGCGTCCGCCGCGGCTCAAGCTATCTGAAAGAATGAATTCGGTAGCAATGTTGATCTTCCTATACGTATCTCATGACAAGCATCCCGCGCCAAGACAGCAAAGTCTGAGCTGAAAACCTCTCTTGTGACCACGGTAAAACACGAGAAATCCATCGAGGGGTCACTTGGGTCGCAAGAAAAAGATTAGTTTGCTGTGTGTTCATTGTTTTCTTTTTTTTGCTTGTTTTCCTGGTTTTCCGCTGCTGGTTCCCGAAAAAAATTAGCTGTCTTACAAAGAAATTCCTTGTGTGACGCCTACGAATTTGAAAGACAATGCTGTAAACCAGTTCGAAGAAAAATATGTTCGAAGAGAACTTCGAATCAAGAAGGGTACCAGGTAGATCTTAGTGGGGGGGGGCTACCAACAAATCAACGAAATCAACGCCCTGAGCTGTTTTTTTCACTTAAAAAACCAAAGAAAGCAAAAGGTTGCTCAATGTTTCCCATCTGAAAACCACTCGGGGCTTTGATTTCGTTGATTTTGTTTGGCTGGGGCTTTGATTTTCTTGGTTGTTCCTTAAGTTTTGATTGATTTTAATGTTTTTGTTGGTTTTCCGCTTCCTGGCCCTCCCAGCGCCGCCTCCACCGCACCCCCAGAGAGGGCGCGGGCAGCAGAAACCAACAAAAACAATAAAATCAGCCACAACCTAAGGAAAAACCAAGAAAATCGAAGCCCCAAGCAAAAAAATCAACGAAATCAAAGCCCTGAGCTGAAAAACCAAAGAAAACATAAGGTTTTTCAATGTTTCCCGTCTGAAAACCACTCGGAGCTTTGATGTCGTTGATTTTTTCTGGCTGGGGCGTTGATTTTCCTTGTTCTTCTTTAGGTTTTGACTGATTTTACTGTTTTTGTTGGTTTTCTGCTCCCTGGCCCTCCCAGCGCCGCCTCCACCTCACCCCCAGAGAGGGCAAGGGCAGCAGAAACCAACCAAAACAGTAAAATCAGCCCAAACCTAAGGAAAAACCAAGAGAATCAAAGCCCCAAGCAAAAAAATCAACGAAATCAAAGCCCTGAGCTGTTTTTAAATGTGAAAAAAAATGTGTTTCAATGTTTCCCGTCTGAAAACCACTCGGAGCTTTGACTTCGTTGATTTTTCTGGCTGGGGCTTTCATTTTCCTGGTTTTGCCTTAGGTTTTGACTGCTTTTACTGTTTCTGTTGGTTTTCCGCTCCCTGGCCCTCCCAGCGCCGCCTCCACCTCACCCCCAGAGAGGGCGCGGGCAGCAGAAACCAACAAAAACAATAAAATCAGTCAAAACCTAAGGAAAAACCAAGAGAATCAAAGCCCCAAGCCAAAAAATCAACGAAATCCAAACCCTGAGCTGTTTTTAATTGAAAAACCATAGGCCGGTTTTTCAATGTTTCCCGTCTGAAAACCACTCGGAGCTTTGGTTTCGTTGACTTTTTTGGCTGGGGCTTTGATTTTCCTTGTTTTTCCTTAGGTTTTGACTGATTTTCCTGTTTTTGTTGGTTTTCCGCTCCCTGGCCCTCCCAACGCCGCCTCCACCTCATCCCCAGAGAGGGCGCGGGCAGCAGAAACCCACAAAAACAATAAAATCAGTCAAAACCTAAGGAAAAAACCAAGAAAATCGAAGCCCCAAGCAAAAAAAAACAACGAAATCAAAACCCTGAGCTGTGTTTAATTGAAAAACCAAAGAAAACATAAGGTTTTTCAATGTTTCCCGTCTGAAACCCACTCGGAGCTTTGATTTCGTTGATGTTTTTAGGTTTTGACTGTTTTTACTGTTTTTGTTGGTTTTCCGCTCCCTGGCCCTCCCAGCGCCGCCTCCACCTCACCCCCAGAGAGGGCGCGGGCAGCAGAAACCAACAAAAACAATAAAATCAGTCAAAACCTAAGGAAAAACCAGGAAAATCAAAGCCCCAGGCATTCCCACAATAGGATTCCTTTTGCGGAGGGAATAATAACGAGAGAAGATCCAAAATCACGTCAAAGAAAGAGAAGTCAAATGATACAAACGATCCGCCCTACGGGCCCTCCCCCCTCTCTCTGAGGCCTGGCGCCGTGCTGGCACGCAGCGTGGTCCACAGTCGCTTGTTCCCCCCTTGCCCTGTGGAATGGTCACTCGGGTGTTGGGTCGCCACGGAGTGGTTCAGCCTTCCGCAGCAAGACAGCCCCCAGGCTCCCTCCAGCTGCCGGCCAGTGCGCCGCACCAGTTCCGCGACAGCTGCTTGGCTTGCAGACGTCGTCGCGGGCGTTCGGAGTCTGGCGCCCCACAGGCGACTCACTCCACCGGCCTCCCACTGCCTCCACTGCAGCAGGACCCCCCCTGGCAGGCATCGCAGGCGCTTCACCACTAGACGGCGGTGCCCCCCACGCCTGCGGATCTCTTCGCCTCAGGGATCGGCATCGCAGTTGCGCCTTGGGCACAGCCGCATGGCTCCACCTGGCACTGGGAGGTAGATTACTGAGGTCTGGGCGCCGCGTGGCTCAGCCTGCCACGCCTGTAGTTCTCGGTTTTCCTTTGAATGCAGAGCATCTTGTTCAGTGCATGTGCAACTGCACGCTCGTTGTGCAATTAGCTTTGTGCCGCCGTCCCGGACATTGCCTGTCGCCGCCAGACCGTTGTCGCGCGGCCGCCGACCAAAAAAGGATGCATCGCCCACGGATGGGCGATGGCGAGGCGTCGGCGACGTCGCCCTGGAGAAGATCGGGTTCCACATCGAGCCGCAGAGCCGATGCGGCGGCGACGCGGCGCGATCCTCCGACCCCATCGGGGAGGCAAAGAATCTTTAGACCGCCTATTTGTTTAGACGCCCGCAATGGGTATGTAAAAAATGAATACAATGCCCAACAACAAATGCTGTCCCAAATGAAGGGGCCCAGGGACACATAAATAACTAGACACAAATACCAGGATTCACAGTATTCTCACATATTTTCTGGGTTTTCGTCTTCCCCCCCACTTCCCATATTTTCCCAAATTTTCCTGGGAGTCGACGAATTATGTCTGTGTGTCTATTTCCCTCCTGACCAAACCACCAGCGGCCGCTGTTAGGCAGGCGGCCTTCTGTTTCAAACGCACACATCGCGCGGCGACACCGACAGCGAGTGCTACTCAGAATGCACAGGAACTGCTGTCGGCCTCTGTGGGCGGCACGCAGAAGGGGGCAGGGGGAGGTTTCTTGGACGGAGGTCCTTCTTAAAAGGCGCCAGAGGAGGAGGAGGAGGAGGAGGATTAGAGGAAGATTGGAAGAGGAGAGGAGGAGGAGGAGGAAGAGGAGGAGGAGGAGGAGAAGAAAAAGAAAGAGGAGCAGGAGGAGGAGCAGGAGGAGCAGGAGGAGCAGGAGGAGCAGGAGGAGCAGGAGGAGCAGGAGGAGGAGGAGGAGAGGGAGTAGGAGTAGGAGTAGTAGGAGGAGGAGGAGGAGGAGAAGGAGGAGGAGGAGGAGGAGGACGGGTCGCCTAAGCTCTTCGGAGCAACCCTCCAAGCAAGGATGCTTCTCAACAGCCTTCCCCCCTCCCCCTATACCCCCCTCTGCGTGTGGACGACTCTGCACCCCTTCTCTCCGTGCCCCTTCCGATCCTCCCGAAATTTCGGACAACCCCCTCCCTCCTCCTCCTCCTCCTCCTCCTCCTCCTCCTCCTCCTCCTCCTCCTCCTCCTCCTCCTCCTCCTCTTCCGGGGCGGCGCCCGGCAGCGAATTCGCGACGGCGCGCCGGAGCTCGTCGCCGGGGTCGGGCTGGCCGGGCAGCCCCGGCGACTTGGAGGCGGCAGGGGAGCCGGCGCCCCCGGCTGGGGAGCCGCTGGGCGGGCTCGGCGCCGCCGGCGCCACGGTGACCTCTCGCAGCACCTTCTGCTCGGCCGCACGGCGCTCCTCCTGCAGGGCGGCGGCGGCGGCGAGATAGGACGACGACCACGACGGCGGCGAGGGCGACGGCGGCGACGGCGATGGCGGCGGCGGCGGCGAAGGCGGCGGCGGCGGCGGCGACAACGACGGCGACAGCGAAACGACGGCGACGGCGGCGGCGGCGGCGGCGGCGACGGCGACGGCGACGGCGACGGCGACGGCGACGGCGACGGCGACGGCGACGGCGACGGCGACGGCGACGGCGACGACGACGACGACGACGACGACGACGACGACGACAACGACGGCGACGGCGACGGCGACGGCGATGGCGACGGCGACGGCGACGGCGACGGCGACGGCGACGGCGACGACGACGATGACGACGACGACGACGACGACGACGACGACGACGACGGCAGATGCGGGGGCGACGGCGGCCGCCAAGACGACAGCGGCGGAGACGACGGCAGCGACGATGACAGCGATGTCCTGCAGGAACGTGGGGGCCAGCGCGTCGGAGTCCATCGAGACCACCTTGGGAAGGACCCCCCAAGAACGACCGACGGCCCCGGCACGAGAGAACCTCGAGAAGCATGAGGCTCGAGGTCTCCACCCTAGAGGGCTCAGCCCATTCATTCTCGAGCGTTCTGTTCCCACAGCTCTGGAAGGCTCGGAGGGTTCTTCAGCCTCCAGATTGGTCCAACGCCCACCCTTCCCCGCCCAGCTTTCCTCTCGGGGCGACGTCGAAGCGAGTAGAGGCAGCGGTAGGATTAGAGGAAAAGCGCCCTGGACGGCTGCTGGGGGTGGGTGGGAGGGGGGGGATAGCGTTCGGGGACGGGGGGCTGGGGCGTTCCGTTCTGCGCTGTTTTCTCAATGGCCCCAGGGCCCATGGAGGCGGGCCTGTTTCGATTTTGTTTGGTGGCGACGGGGGGCATCGCGCACCGGGCTGGCGTCTGCATATGTTCTCGATGGTTGTCGATGGCAGCCCCTGTCCACGTTGAGACTCGGTTGCTACCAATATGTTGGGGCGTGGGACTAAGCGAGACGGCTTGCCGCTTGCGGCCTCCAAGATGCCTAAGACACCGCAAGATAGCTCAAGATGGTTTCCAAAATACTCCAAGAGATCCCAAGACCGCTCCACGACGTGTCCAAGTGGCACTGGGTGCTGCCAAAGAAATCCATTATTATGGCCTTGTCGCCCGTTCGCTTCCGATGGCCTTACGAAGCCTCAAGATGGTTCCAAGCGGGCAAAGAAGAGACCCAAGAGGGCTACCATCAGCGCGCAAGAGCACCCCAAGGGCGCACCAAGACACCCCAAGAGGCGCTATTTTGGGGCTCTAGACGGGCCCAAGAACGCCTCCAAGGCTCCCAAGAGGGCCCCAATAAGGCCCCAAGAAGGCCCCAAGAAGCCCCTAAGAAGCCCCCGAGACGCCCAAGAGGCCCTCAAGACGCCCTAAGCGGCCACCAAGAGTTCCCCAGGAGACACTCCAAGCGACTCCGAAAGGAATTCCAGAGGCCTCTAGCTCACAGAGGCTCCATGTGGTATCCAAATGATGCCACGCTCCCCCCACAAGGGCAGCTCCCCTGGGCATCGTTCCCAGTGGGGATTTGTTTGGCACGCGGGCGCGCGAAGCAAAAAGGTTTTTCCTTATTTTCGGCGATTACGGGCGTCATGGGGGGGGGGAGGGCGGGGGGGGTATGACGTGACGCCCCCCCCCCGCCGTGTGGCTCCGGCACCACAGCCGCGCCCGCGCGCACGACGCGACGAGCGACGAGCGACGAGCGACGACGACGACGCGAGCAGCATGTCATTGGCGATGTGCCCATTGCGCCTGTGTACACCACAACGCTCGCGTGCACCACGCCGCGCGTGTGCACCTCAGCGCCTGCGTACACCGCAACAGCCGTGTGCAACGCACCGCCAGTGTATACCACAATACTTGGGAGCACTACATCGCCGGTGTACATACACCGCAGCAGCCATGTGCAACACAACGCGCGTGTACACCACAGTGCTTGCGTGCACCGCAGCGCCCATGCACGTCACAGCGCCTGTGTACACCACAGCATCCGCGTGCAACGTAGCGCTGGTGTGCACCACAGTGCCTGCGTGCATAGGACAGGTAGAAGGAGCATGTACGTCAGGACCTGATGCAGACAACTAAACGCCACGCCTGGAAAGTTCTGATAATCGAATGCGACGTTTTTCCCTTCTCCCTCCTCCTCCACCTCCTCGTCCTCCTCCTCATCCTCGTCCTCCTTTTCCTCCTTCTTACCACCTGTCGTGCGGTTTGGCGTTACAACGCACGTGCGCATCTCAACGTGCACCGCAGAATGGTCGATTGATTCGGTCCACTCGGTTCTCGGACGGCCAGTTTAGCTGGAGCCTCCTGGACGCAAATGGGAGTTAGGGTGATGCGGGCGGACTCGGGGGGACTCGTACATTCCAGCGGCGCTCCTGTGTCCATGAGGATTTGTTTCCCATTGTTGTCTCTGGAATCCACACGCGCTCCATTTTGTCATAAGGATTACTCCTGAAACTCTATACACAACAATGGTGTTGTGTTGCACACGGTTGATGTGGTGCACACAGGCGCCGTGGCGTACACAGGCACTGCAATGCACGCAGGCATTGTGGTGTACACTGGTGCTGTGTTGCGCACGGCTGATGTGGTGTACGGAGGCGCTGTGGTGTACACAGGAGCTGCTGTGCCCGCATGCACGGTGGCACAAACTGACGCTGTGTTGCACGCGGTTGCTGTGGTGTACATCGGCGGTGTGGTGTACACAGGCGATGTGGTGCACGCGGGCACTGTGATGTACACAGGCGTTGTGGTGCATATCGCCACCTACACGTTCGTGCTACCCGTCCTCCGTCATTCCCAACCATTCCCAAACGCCGCCGGCGCGAAACGTGACGTCATCGACCTCCTCCCCCCCCCGATGATTGCCGTCATCGGCGCGGACTTAAAGATAGGTTCCAGCCGCGTCCGCGCGCACGACGAGGATGAGCGACGAGCGACGAACCACGAGCGACGACGACGAACGACGACGACGACGACGACGACGACGACGACGACGACGACGACGACGACGCCTGCGGACCAGACACCTATGCGGATTCCTACGCGGACACTTACGCGGATCCCAATGCGCACGGCGGCAGCGCCCGGAGCGCACTGGGGGGGGGGAGCGTTACGTGATAGGGGGGGGGAGCGGGGGCCATGACGCCCGTCATGCCCCAAGCAATAAAGATATGGCTTCCAAGTCGAACGCCGAACACGCTAGGGCGGGGACGCGCCGTGGCGAAGGGCCCCGTGGGGACACCTTTTGATCGCGACCGCGGCGGAAAAAATCGGGCGGCGTCCAGGAGCGATGCACACGGGCAACGGCCTAAATTCGCGCACAGGGAGAAGGAGGGGCAAAAAGACACGCAAGACCAAGCAAGGGGAAAGGCTAACAGGAGGCGAGCCTCGCTGCCACTCACAAGAGAGCGCACGCCAGGAAATCCTTCTGGGCGACGTGCAGCACCAGGTGGTAATTCGGGTAGCTAATCACGTCACTGACGAGGAAGACCGCCACCATGACGTACAGCAAGCCCAAGGCAGGACGAGGGACGCGAAACGCATGGCAGCAAGCCACCGTCTCAGAGGAAAGACCAGGCATGCGGGCGCTCAACGAAATAGATCCGGATAACCAGACACCGAGGGATGTCGGGGTGGCAGACTGGGCGAGTGCGAACAGACCACGCCGCGGGTAGCAGGAGGGAACGGCCGATGACGGCAAGACGAAGCGGGGGAGAGGCCGTGGGGGCCATCAGGCAGGGGCGAGCTGCCCGCGCCGCTAAAGTGGCGAGGGGGCCCAGACGGAGGGCTGGAAGACCCCGTGGGGGTATTTTTTGATCTGCGGCTCAAAGGACGACTCCAGAGAGCGGGTCAATCTCGACAGGGGCGCAATGCGAGACGATTGGCAACGAAGGCACATAGGCCAACGCCGCAATGCACGTGCGAGGGACAAAATGAACCTCATTAGAGCCGACCCGGGCACGGAAGACGGCAGCAGACTGTAAAGCCGGCGGGGGGTCGCACAGTGGCGCCAGCCCCCACAGACCAAGCCTGCGAGAAATCGGGAACGCTGTGCGGGCAGCACAGAGCCCGAGGAAAGGCACCGCCAAACGCGGCGAGGAGGAGCAGAAGGGGAGACAGAGGCGCAGGAGGCGACGAGGGGAGGGGGAAGGAAGGAAGCCTCACTCACAGAGCACCTGAGGTGCTCGAGGACAGGTGCGTCGAACCTTGACAGGAGTCGGCAGCCTTGTCATCAGAGTCCCAGCCTGCAACTTCCTTGCCACTGTGGATGGGGGGAAACGCTGCGTGGTAGCCCCGTGGGGATACGCGAAGCGCCAAGAAATATGAAAAACTGCCGTTTCGATGTGTTGCTCGAGGCGCCAGATCTCTAGGAACATTGGATCCTCGATCCTCGATGTTGCAGGCGGGGAGGAGGGGGGCGAGGTTCAACGGAGAAACAGAAACCACCGCCACAGGAAACCCATCGAATGGAAACCAGCCCCTGGGCGGTGGCACACGCCCGAGCATCACCCGGTGTCGGACGACGCCCAAGCGTGCCACCGCCAGGGGTTGGACCCCCCCGATGGATTCTCGGTGGCGGTTGTATTTCTCTCCTCCGAAAGGTGGAGGAGGAGGAGGAGGAGGAGGAGGAGGAGGAGAAGGAGGAGGAGGAGGAGGAGGAGGAGGCCGAGACGGAAGGAGAATGATGAGCAGCAGCAGCAGCAGCAGCAGCAGCAAGGAGCACGAGGAGGAGCTGCAGCGGGCCCGTGCCACAACTCTGTGCCCTGCGGGCCACCGCGAGATTCGTGATGTCGCACGCTGCGCGCTCATTATGCTGGCAACCAGGGTAGGCGAAGTGCGCTCGCACCACGAGGCGTCATTCACCTGCCTATCGCTCCAATGCATTTACCCCTTTCTATTTGCGGACGCTGGTGTAGAATCGAACCGAAGCGGGATCCCAAGATGGCATGAACATGAGGAGGCACAGGACAAAGGAGACTGCCTTCTTCCCATCCCGCGGTTCCTGATGCTTTTGCACGCTTCGCACTCGTTGATCTTGCAACCGAAGCCACGTCGCCTGAGTCGGTCGTCTCCTCGCCTGACAGGCCTGACATCCGAAAACGACGACTGGAGCCCGAAACTCCGACTTGCTGCCGTACACGCCGGTCGGAAGAAGTAGGTAAAAACGTGAAGTGGGAAGGCGTTGGAAGTAGATTGGGCTTCCACCCGCCCCCTGAAGAGGAGGAAAGAAGGATAACCACTCGACTCTTGAAGTAGGAAGGCGCCTTAAGTAGATTAGGATTTGGGCATCCGAAATTCCTACTTTCAACGACCGGCGTGTACTTCTCAGGCCGGATCGACACGTGATGACCAGCACGAGAGATCTGGCGAGGGCGCCTGGTGCGGCAAGCAGCCAACATGCGACGCCCAGGCCTCAGGGAGACGCAGCGGCCACGCCGCGCTGAAATCAGCAAAACGCATCAAAGAAGCAGCAGAAAAGGAAGGAGGAGGAGGAGGAGGAGGAGGAGGAGGAGGAGGAGGGAGGGAGGGAGGGAGGGAGGGAGGGAGGCACGGCCTGGCAGTCAACCAGACGAAGACGCAGGCCTGGTCTGCTGGAGGGCGCGGCCACTTGCCCGCCACCGTCCACGGGCGCTGGGTGGACCACCTCACCTGCCTGGGGAACGCGGCCCCGTGGCTTGAGCCGGAGCGGAGAGGGGAGGGAGAGGAGGAAGAAAGAGTGACAGTCCACGCAGGGCTGGACGGGGCCACAGCCATTGCGAAGGCCGCTTCTCTTGCTGCGCGCCTGCAAGAGCTGCGACAGGCTGGCCTCCGGGCTGAAAACGCCTTCACTCTTCTCCTGACCTTTGCGCGCGGATGCGTCACGCACCACCTCCGCGCCAACCTGCAGGGCGACTGGACAGAGCAACTAGACCGAATCCTTTTCGGCTGTCTCGAGCAACTCGCTGACGCACCCTTGGACGGCCAACAGCGCCTCCAAGCCACCCTGCGGCTTGCCGACGGCGGATGTGCCTTCCTTTCGGCTACCCTGACTACGACGAGGACCACCGCCTGCGCTTGAGGGAGAGCGGGGGCACTGGAGCGGGCAGCTGGCTCCTCCCGCGCGAGCCAAATGACCCACGCCAACCAGACGCGCACTTCTGCGGCAACCTCAAACGCCGGCTCTGCGCCCCAGTCTGTCCGCCTGGGTCCCGCTGCCAGCACCGTCGCCAGGACGGAAGCCTCTACAACGAGCCCCTCGACCCGCACGGCTGGCACGCAGTCAAGTGCGAGGTGGGCGCGTCGCGCAACAATCGCCACAACAGCTGCCGCGACTGGCACTCTGCGAAGCACAAGGAGCTCACTGGCTTCGCGGCGCCCACGGAGCAGGCCGTCCCGGCCTGGGACCGCCGCCATCCCCGCACGGGCGAGCTCCAACAAGCAGTGCTCGACCTCTCCACCAGCGACCCAGCCAGCGGCCGCCAAATCTTTATCGACTGGAGCATCACCTGCGTACACTCAACGTACGCTCCACGCAGGGGTGCCCGGCCGAGAGGGATGGGCTGGCGGCCGCCCAGGCGGTGGAGCAGAAGCGGGAGCGCTACCCTCCGCACGGAGGAGAACTGGTCCCCCTTGGAGACGGGGGGGCGCCCCAGCGATGAAGCAGCCAGCTTCGTCCGCAGCTACGGAGCCGGTTTAGACGACGCCGACCGCTCCGAGCTGCTGAGCGGCCTCTGGCGACAGATCAGCAGGACCCTCCAAAGGGGGAATGCTGAGATGCTGCTGAGCGCCCTCGGGCGCTAAACCAGTACGGCGGTGACCAGCGCCACCACGACCACCGCCGCGGCGACCGCCGCCAGCGCCACGACCAGGACAAGGGCCAGACTGCTGCCCTGAGGCCGCCACCAGCACGACCACCGTTGCCACGACCACCTCGACTACGACAAGGGCCTCACGACGACGACCGCCCCTGCCCCTCCCTCGGCCCCTGCCCCCGCCCCCGCGACGTCGACGTCCACCACGACTTCTGCGGCCACCTCATCCGCCCCCCGTTCCCCTTCGCCTCTGCCTCCTCTCCTTCTCCTTGTGCCTGGCCGCCCCTGCAACCGTGCCCCCCTCCTCCTCCTCCTTCTCCTCCCCGTAATTAGCAGACTAGACTTTCCCGCTTGCCCGGCGGTCCCCAAGGTGACGGGGTGCGGGGCCAACTCTGGCGCCGCCGGGCCGAGATGGGGGGAGGGAGGCAGGGAGGGAGGAGGGAGGGAGGGGAGGAAGGACGGAGGGAAGGAGGGAGAGGAGGGAGAGGAGGGAGAGGAAGGAGGCCAGGCAGCGGGAGCGGCAGCAGGAGGCGGAGCGGCAGCAGCAGGCGGAGAGCGGGAGCGGGCGGCGGCCGCAACGGAGCGCCCAGGCGAGCCTCTTCCGCGGAGACGGCCCCCGCCACGATGCGCCTGCGCCCACAGGGGACGGCCGGAGCCGGCCCAAAGAGGCACAAGGATGAGGGGAGGGAAGGGAGGAGGAGAGGGGGAGGAGGAGGAGGAAGAAAACAGGAACAGCGGGGAGAGGCGGGGGAGGGGAACGAGGACGAGGAGGAAGAGGAGGAGGAGGAGGAGGCGCAGGAGAAGGAGCGGGAGGAGGAACAGGAGGAGGAGGAGGACCAGGAAGGGGAGGAGGAGGAGGAGGAGGAGGAGGAGGAGGAGGAGGAGGAGGAGGAGGAGGAAGAGAAGGAAGAGGAGGAGAGGGAGGAGAGGGAGGAGGAGGAGGACGACGACGACTAGGAGGAGGAGGTCAAGGCAAAGAGTGTGCCAGGGGTACTTTGCATGTGCGTCGTTGCGGCTGTCATTGGTCATGCCCACGAAACCACCGCACGACGGCGGCGAACGAAGAGCGCCAGCGATGTTGTTTGGCGCATGCTCCACGATATGACCCACGCGCTCGAGCATAGTCGTGAGACTGTTGGACTCGGCCAACAGTGGCTGGGTATCGGTTGACGTAGGACTGGAGCAGCGTCAGGAGATGGCTAGCGGCAAGGCCGACCGCTCGGAGGAGCAGCCAGCTGTAGCCTTCCCAAGACATCGCAGCTCCATCATTGTGCGTAGCTCGAAATCGCAACGCGAGGAGCCGCAAGAGCAGCGCGTCGGTGTTTTCGTTGCGGCGCCTCGAAAACTCAAAGAGATCACGGGTGTTCTGGAGGCGAGAGTCCTCGCCTAGTAGACCGAACTGTGTGGCGAGCTTCGCTCGCGATGAGGTAGGTCACGGCGTCCTCTGGCTGGCCGTTGACCATGCGTCCCTCAGTCATCTCCGTGAAGCTCATGCAGAGCGTTGGCGCGCGAGCGGCCCCAACGAGGCTAAGGATGACGGCAGCACATTGTTGGGCGCTGTCCTTGTCGGTGGCTAACACACGGACTCGCGCTCGGTTGACCATTAGGGCGGCTGGCAAGAAGTGATCGCACCGCGGCCGCCGCCGCCGTGTGGGCCGGCTCCACTGGGCATCATGTCGGAAAGCCAGAACAGGACGGCCACTAAGAACACGAGGATGCTGCCGCAGAACGTCAAGATGGAGGTCCTCGTCGATAAAACCTCACCACGATGATGGCTTCGGGAGAGCATCGGAACTCGGGCACACGCAGGGACGAACGCCATGTCGAAGTGCGGGGCAGCCATGATCATGCCATCAACCTCGGTCGAAACCGAAGTCAGTGAAACTGGTGCGTTGCCCTTCAGTGTTCCACTCGGGTGGTGCCATGTGCTCACGAGGACAGCCAGCACCATCGCACACATACCGAAGCACGGCGCTAGCCCAAGGAGGAACCTCGCAGTCATGCCCAACGCGAAGCTGCGGCCAGAGCATGCAGGGCTCGTGGCGTTCCGGAGAGCAAATGGATCCTCATCGCGGTTGCGCCTTCTGCTGATGCCCTCCCTGCAGGACCAGACGTCCGGGGCAAATTGTCAATTGTCTTGCAGAACAGACAAAAACACAGGCTACTCAAGGAATGGAGAGTGGTACTGATGCAGAGGTGAAGGTAAGTGGACATGCGCGTCCACTTTGCACTATGCGCACGCTCCATGGATCGGGAGCCGGGATCGTTCCCAGCTCCGCTAACGACTAGAATTGCGGGGGGGGGGGGGAAGCCGTACGAGAAAGCATGGCAGCAATACGACGACGCTTGCACTGTTTAGCTTCTTCGTACGTTATACAGGTACGCGCCGGCGCTGAAGCCAAACAGCGGCAGAGCATCCTATTTGAGTGAAGAGGAGGAGGAGGAGGAGGAGGAGAAAGAGGAGGAGGAGGAGGAGGAGGAGGAGAAGGAAGAGGAGGGGAGGAGGAGGAGGGGAAAGAGGAGGGGCCCTCGGTGGGTGCCCGGGGCCATCCTGCCACAGCCGCCCCCCCTCCTCTCCTCCTGCCTCTCTCTCATCCTCCTCCTTTTTCCTCGCCTCCTCCTCCTCCTCCTCCTCCTCCCTCTCCTCCTCTTTGCCCTCCACCTCCTCCTCCTCCTCCTCCTCCTCCTCCTCCTCCTCCTCCTTCTGCCCGTCACCCTTCCCAAAAACAAACATCCGACCATGTGACTTTGTTTCGTCTGCGAGCCCCGAGGGTCTCGACCCCTCCCCAGGGGGGTACTTTTCATCCCCAAATACCCCTTTTTGACTGCCCCAGGATTGAAAAAACAAATCCAGTGGACCCCTTTTTACCCATCGGCCTTCGCCTCGGTATGGACCTGCAAGGAGGCCTGCAGCGGCAAGTGTACGGTGTCTAATCATTAGCGCCCGCCGATCGGAGGCCGTCTCGGCGATCTTCGGCAGTCTTCCGCGAGGAAGGTGGACCGTTGCGTTCCAACCTGGCCTAACACCTACGAGGACAGGAAGAGGAGGAGGAAGAGGAGGAGGAGGGGCAGGAGGAGGAGGAGGAGGACAAGGAGGAGGAGGAGGAGGAGGACAACGAACCCGGAATCCGCTCAGAATCAGTCCCTGTACGTTCCGAGGGTCGCTCCCGGCAAGCCTCCTGTCCTGGAGCGACCCTGGACTGCCAGGTGGCCCGAAGAAGGGTTCCAGACACCGCAGATGGTTAAAAAACAACTTCGAACATCGACCTTCGCGGCGAAGACGACGACGACGACGACGACCACGACGACGACGACGACGACGACGACGACGACGACGACGACGACGACGACGACGACGACGACGACGACGGCGACGGTGGCAAGCACAACGGCGAGAGAGCTCCAACAACGAGGCGCCTGCGCAGCGGCCCGTTGCTCGGGTGGCAGAGGTTGCTGCGGAGCATCCGCGCGTGCTTGCTGTACCCCTTCGTGGTGCCCCCGTAGGTGCGGTGCAGCGCCACCTGAGAGGGGGAGGACCTCTTCGATCTGGCGTTTTCCTCCAGCGCTTCCAGTCGCGGACGATTGTCTTCTCTGGTCCGGCATTTTCCTCCCAATATGACCTCCGGGGGGCAGTTTTTCGGCCATGGGGCCGTCAAAATCTCACCAGCCCTCTGGGCGTCGGTGGTTTAGGGAGTTTCCTCTTCCACCCCTCCTTCTTCCCCTTCGGGGAGGGGTTTACCCCTCCCCCTACCTCCTGCCCTGGACCTGGACAGGGGGTTTCGCGAGGTGTCGGAGCGTCCAAGACGGCCTCGGCGAGGAAGCCAAAATCATTGGTTTTACCAAGGTTTGGGCCCCATTTTGGCCTCCTGCGGGGGGGACTGTAATTGGGCACCACCCCTCCTGTGATCGATCTCACCCAAGATGGCCCAAAGATGGCCCCAAGGCTCCCAAGGGTGCCCCAAGAGGGCCCCAAGAGGTGGCCAGGAATCCCCAAGAGGCCCCCAGGATGCCCCCAAGAGGCTCCCAAGAGACCCCCAAGAGGCCCCTAAAGACCCCCCAGAGGCACCCAAGATGCTCCAAGAGGCCTCGGCGAGAATGCCAAGCCATTGATTTTGCTAAGGTTTTAGCCACATGTTGGCCTCTTGGAGGGGGCACTGATTAAGATGACTCCAAGAGCGCCTGGGAGAGCCCAAGATGACCTCCAAGATGGCTCAAGATATCCCAAGATGTCTCATAATGGCTCCCACGATGCTCCAAGATGCCCCAAGACCGCTCCAAGACGGCTCCCAGTGGCCGAAGAGCTCCCCCAGGAGGCCCGGAAGAGGCCAGACCTTAGGAAATTCTATGTGTTTGGCTTTCTCGCCTTTTCGCTTCCGATGGCCATCCGAGGCCTCAAAATGGCTCCAAGATGGCACAAGAGGGCTCCAAGAGAGGCTCCAGAGAGCTCCAAGACGGCCCCAAGAGCGCCTAAGAGCGCTCCATGAGCGCCCCAAGAGGCGATTGTTTGGGCTCCCGAGGAGCAACGCTAACTAATGTTCGCTTCTTTTTTCTGTTTTTCTTCTTGTTTGATCGATGTCCCCCAAGATGGCCCCAAGAGCGCTCCCAAGGCTCCCAAGAGCGCTTCAAGAGGGCCCCAAGAGGCGCCCAGGAGGCCCCAACAGGCGCCCAAGGGGCCTCCAAGATGCTTCCAAGAGACCCCCAAGAGGCCCCAAGAAGCTCTCCGAGGCACCCAAGACGCTCCAAGAGGCCTCCACTGGGGGACCCTTCCTCTGTGTGCTGCCCACTTCCCTGATCGAGGCAATTCCTCTGGGCATCGTTTCTGGATGGGCTGGTGGGGTTACGCGAGCGTCTAGAATTTGATCCGCGACGAAGGACTACCCAAGTGGATAGGGGTCGAGACCTATTAGGCCCGCGGGCTTTCGCACATACATCGTCGGATGTCTGGGGCCTTCCAGACAGGAAGCCCCAGACCTCAGTCCCACGGTTGTCCCTATGGTTGTTTCGACGGTTGTTCCGACGGCTGTCCCGTGGTATTCCCGATGCTTGTCCCGTGGTTACCCGCGGTTGTCCCGCGGTTGTCCCGACGTTACTCAGTGGTTGTATGTTGTCCCGTGGTTGTCCTGTAGCTGTCTCGTAGGTGTCCCGTACTTGTTCTGCGGTTGTCAATCAATACACGGTGGAGCCGATGGGTAGCGAAATCGATAAATGATTGATAGGGGGAATTGAAAGTTACTGGGACAGATAAGTAGTCCGATCCATCGATGTATTGATTGTAATATCGATAGCCCGGGAAGAGATAGGTAATGAGGACGATCGATGAGCAGTGAGGTCGGCGAATAGGTAGATCGAAACCAATTGCCCTAGCCAGCCCAACCAGCCAGCCCAACCAACCAGCCACCCAAACAACTCAACCGGCTCAACCAGCCCAACCAACCACCCCGCAACCCCAGCCACCCCGCCACCCCGCCAACCCGCCCACCCCCGCCGCCTGCCCTCCGTCACCGTCGAGAGGGGGGGGGAAGTGTTTCTTACAAGCGAAAACCACAAAAATCACCCTCCCAGGGTCCGGCGGGACAGCGGGGGGAGGGGAAATCGCACCGTACTATGCGGGAGGGGGATTCGCGCCCGAGGTGCCCAAGGACGATTTTGGGCCTCAAGTGCGACACTGTCGTCACTTTATTACCTTTCACCGCGCTCCCCTTCTCAACGGAAAGGCTCCCATCCGTGAAACTGTCGTCATTTTTCAGCCCCCGCGAGAGTCTTCTTAGAGGCCCTCAGAGGCTCCAGGAGGGCCCATGGCGGCCTCGGGAGTGCCTGGGAGATCTCCGGAGGGCCCCAGGAGGACCCACTCTGCACCGCGCCCCCCTTCTCAACGGAAAGGCCCCCATGTGTGACATTGTTTTCATCATTCCGCCCCCGCGAGAGAGTTCTTAGAGGGCCCACGGAGGCTCCAGGAGGGCCCATGGCGGCCCCAGGAGAGCCCACGAGATCTGAAGAGCCCCCCGGAGGACCCACTTGGAGTTACACTCAGGGAGCTCCAGAGGGCCCAGGAGGCTCCAAGAGGCCCCAAGAGGCCCCGAAGAGCCCAAACAGGCCACAGGACCCCCAGCGCGCTCTAGGAGACCCAAGGCGACACCAAGAGGCTCCAGGACGGGCGTCATTCCCTCTCTTCCTCATGTTCGTCGTCATCATCCGCCTCCTCATCCGTCCTGCTTTTAATATTTCCTCCCCCTCTTCGTCCTCCTTCTCCTCCTCTTTCTCCTCCTCCTCCGCCTCCTCCTCTTCTTCTTCCTCCTCCTCCTCCTCCTCTTCCTCCTCCTCCTCCTCCTCCTCCTCCTCCTCCTCCTCCTCCTCCTACCTCATCCGTAGCCTCGATGGCTCCGATAGCGCCGTGCGCGAGATCCGCCTCCTCCCCATCCGTCCTCCTCCCTCCTCCTTCCCTCCTCCCTCCTCCCTCCTCCCCTTTCTCGGGAGCGTCACAAAGAGGCCCTCCGAGGAGAAGTTCACGACAACAAGGGCGCCGACACGATGAACAGACACCACGTCGGGGCTCTGGGAACGGAGTCGAAGACGAAACCTCGAATCACTTAGTCTTCGATGTTCGGGGCATTTTTCTGACCACGTGCGAGCCTTGTGGAAACTTCCGAGAGCCTCAGAGGTGGACGTCTGGCGCAAGAACACGAGTGGAGGAGGAGACAACACGACGCTCCACGGAATAAACTGCACCCGATTGGTTTCTACCCCCGTGAGGGGCGTTACAGGGTAGCAAACTGGTTATGTATACATATATATACATACATATATATATATATATATATACATATATATCTATATGTATATATGTATATATATAATATATATATATATATATATATATATATATATATGTGTATGGATTGCGAGTCCGATCCAATGCCACCAATCCCCCAACCCCCCCACCACCCACACGCACACGCGCACACACAAACACACACACACACACAAACACACAGACACACACACACACACACACACACACACTGTGGTTGCGCGGCCCTGCGCGCAGCGACGGGGCGGAGAAAGTCTGTAGCAGCGGTCGCGCGCGCGCTCGTCTATAGCGGCCGAGCCCTCCAGGCCATTTGATAGCAGCGGCAGTTGCCAGCCATAAGCCATCTGGACGTGGATGACGGGGGGGACAGACGAAGGGGGGCGGACGAACGTCAACCGACGACGTCGAGAACCGAGGACCGACGAGAGGAAGCCGGGAGAAAGGCAACAGCCAATCGTGACCGACATGGCTGGATGAAAACGACGCGCATGTGCGTGCCAAGGCCAACAAACGCTGGTAGAAGGGCACGGTAAAAGGCCAAGGGGCCAACGGCCTGCAATGACGGCGGGGACACCGCAAACCCGCAAACATAGGGCTGCAGTGCCAGCAAGCCCTGAGGGGCGCCCGAAACGGCGACGAACGGGAGGGCTGGCCAGAGAGAAGCGACCGGCATCGCGAACGAGGACCCCGAACGAAGAGACCGGACGATAGCGGCAGCGACGAGTCTCAACACCACCGACGGGAGGGGGAGCCAAGGAGAGGCAGAGGCTAGATCTGGGGGCCAGGAGGGCGGCACGAGCGCACACGGGTGCCTGCCGAAGGCGGGCTGGCCGAGGTGTGAGGAAACAGCCCGGAACTGAAACACGCGAGGCACGCAGTACCCCTAGAGGTGCGGCCCAGCCCGTTCACCGACTCCTCGCCGCTCAAACGGGACCTGCGGGGGGGGGCCAAGCCACGGCGGGCCGGGGCCGCAGGTGCCACCCAGAACGAGGCCCAACAGGACTGGCGGGGCGAGACGGGACAGGCGGAGGGAAAAGGGCAAGGCCGCACCATCCCTCTGTGCATGCAGCATGACCAAGCCCGCCAGGACTAGCGACGACAACGTGGGTGATGCTGCGGGGCCATCCGATAGGCAAGGCGACTCCTGGCCGGTGCGTCGCCGTCGCTAGAAGGGTCACGGGCAGCAGGGGCGGCGGCAGTGGGCTGCCCTTCCGTATGGGTCGAAGACGCGAAACACTCCAGGAACTGATCGAACTCCGCGACCAAACAAAAAGGGTGAGGGCAGCGTGGTGCCAGGGATGCACGGGCCTTGCCTGTGACGGGTGAGCCTCCGCACCCGCCACCCCACCCTGGCCATGCGATCCGAGAGACTGTTGCAATGGCACTGCAAGGATATCTGATTTGCCGTGTAGCGTGTACCTGTGCATCGTCGTTGCCGCGGAAGGGCAGGAAGCAAGCCCTGGAAAGTCTGGGGCGAACCGCGTGGGCGGTAGAACCAGCGGCGCGACGAGGGGGCCTTTGCTGCTAACGCCAAGGGCGCGACGTCGGGGGCAGGGGCAGCGCTAGAGGAAACGCCCACAGGCGAAGGGGGAAGAGGGCTGGGGCTGGGACACAAAGCGGACGGGCATAGGGACGGAGCCGGCGGCGAGGAAGGGGGAACGCGTGACGCGGGCCCCGGGCTCCCTCTGGGGCAGCGACGGTTAAGGCGCATTT